TCTTGATTATAGAATTCTGAATCCTCTATTGGAAAACATAGACAAATAAATACAATTCTAAAAGTGTGATCAATGCCAAAGGAATACAAACACAATCCCTCATCCAACTATTCTCAGAATTTCTCCCTACTTTCAAAATGTTCCACAATGATTATGCATTCCTATATTCATTCGTCCATTCATTCTTTTAGCAAATGATTATTTACTGACAATTGGGTCTGTGCTGGGCACTGAAAATAGGAGGGAGAGGAATAGCAGCCCTCAAAGAACTTGATGTTCAGGCCAAGAAATCATCAAATGACGAGACAATGACAATTCCTGTTGGGAGAGACATAGGCTTCAGTAGGCACAGAGAAGGACCCTCCACCTTGTCTGGAGGAAAGTCAGGGAGAGCAAACAAGGCTTTAAAGGCTTTCTGGAAGAAGTGGCTTTGAAGCTCTGAGGGGAAGCCTGTCAGAAAACAGGATACTTAGGCTTTCCCCAAACCCAGAGGCCTCATGAGTGAGACAGCAGGTAGAATGAGGGCCACTAGAAGTTTGAGACTCAGGAAATATATGGTCCCAGGAGTCACGAGTCAGGGATGGAGTCCAGTCAATGGAGACTGAGTGGCAGCTTGATCTCAGGGAGTATCCTGTGATCAAATCTTGAAAAGCAGGCTAAGGGGAGAGGACCCTAGGCTCCCACTGCAGAGTACTGATCTACGATGCTCTATTTCTCACAACCAGCCAACAATCTCGAAAGTGTGCCAAATACACCTGAAGGAATCAAAATGTGCTAACTACTTCAAGTAGTCACGGGATTCCTCTTATATAGCTGGTGAGACATAGGCAGCTCTTGTTCCTGCTCAAAAGAGTCCTACAGCGGAGATTTTAAACACACACACACACACACACACACACACACACACACACTTTTTGCTAAGTTTCTCATCTCTGCTGATACTGCTTACAAAGGCTTGTGCAACTTTCTAAGGGCAGCTACTGGCCAGGCCTCAGGTTGGTGACCATAATTGCCATGGCCTTGGCAGCTAGCCAAAAAGCCAAAATCACAAAATGTGTGGCTTTAAGAACAATTACTAGAAATACTGATATATTGCATTTAAAAGATGTTAAGGAGCCTCCAAAGACATTTGTTTGAGCCTGCTGTGGATTTCCTAGTGCATCAGTTTGCAGCGGCTCTGAGCTTAACCTCTTTGGGTCCTCAAGCTAGCTGTGGCCAACACCATGGGGTTGTTCTTCCCAGAAACTAAAGTGAGGACCCCAGCACTCTGCTGTCCTATTACACTGGAGCTGCAGAAGGAGGGGGTCTGGAGAGGGAAATGACACTCCTGAATTTCACCTCAAAAACCGAACACTGAAGCACTCAGGACATTCAGTTTTGCATTATGCAAAGCACATAGGCAGACCTGGTAGATCCCAGCTGGACTACTTTCCACCACGTGACCTTGAGCATGTCCCACAACCTCTCTGAGCCTCAGCTTCCTCTTCATTAAAATAAGAATAAGTCAACCTCGAAATGTCACTGGGATGGTTAAATAAGATGATAGTTATAAAATCACACTGTATGTAAACTGAGAAATCATCATATAAATATTTCTGTTGCTATTTTCCCCTCTGCTCAAAGGAAAGACCTACGAAAGAGTAGCCAGTTGGTTACCTACTCATGGTAGAGGTGGCAGTAGAAAGAGTTAGAGGGAGAAATTAGGAAAGGGCCCTTGGCAGAAAAGAGGCTTTTGTGGATGTGCTTGAGGAGAGTCTGTAGATCCCACCTCCCAAATTCTGTTCCCAGATGTTCCTCTTCCTGAATCCTTTTGAGGATGTGATAAAAAGTATTGATCTTCCTAGAAACATACACAAAGCACACAACTCACAGAATTATCAGATCCTTGAAGGCACCCCGGTATCCTCAGGGCTCAGCACAGTGCTTGGTGCACCACAAATGTTCAGCAACTATCTGTTGACTGGATGAATGATGCTCCCTGTCTCACCATTATATGCCAGTAGCACACTCAAAGGTGTGCACATCTGGCCCCAGACTACTTCAGCCTCACCTTCAGCTTTCTTGATAAGGGTCTTCACCTCTGGTAAAAGATGTCAACTCACTATCCCCCATACAGACTGTGTCCTTATCTGGCCTTCACCCTTTCCCTGGCCTCAGGTGGTTCCACTCCTTCCTGTATAGTTTAAATTCTAATACTATTGAACTTCACGCAGATTGCTGTGCTGACTCAGCTCCATGCCTTTGTTCATTCAGTCCTTTCCCCCAGAAGGACATCCCTTCATTTATTGCCCTTATTGCTTAACTAACCTCTAATCATACATTCTATCTCGGTGCCTTCCCTGGTTAGGCTCCAGAGAATCAGCAATGAAGAATACATACCTGGTCTGTGCCCTCCCTGAGCTTATGGTCCAGCAAGAAATACAGACACCGAACACTTAATGACAACACAGTGGATAAACGCCTTGAAGGAGAAGGGTAGGGTGCTATGGGAAGGTACAACTGGGGGATCTAATTTAATCAGCAGTGAGACTATGTCAGGGAAGATTTCCTGGGACAAGAGACCTGTACATTGAGAAATGAAAGAGAAGGAGCAAGTGCGGTGGAGAGTAAGGAAGGAGAGAGTGTGTCTGGCAGAGGAGATAGCATGTGTAAAGACCTGGGGTGGCAAGCCATGGAGTAAAAGAGGTGAGAAAGCGCGAGGGCCTTATAGATTAGCGTAAAGGACTTGGATGACATTGATTGGTCTGAAGTGGGACAGTGACATGATCAGATTTATATTTGAGAAAGGGCATTTTGCTGAGTACAGTGTGAGTGTGGGGGTGGAGGAGCCAAGAGAGGAGACCAGGAAGCCATGTTCCTGTTGTAACCATCATAGGGGGAATGTTGCAGTGCTGTGGTCAGGTTGCTGGGCAGGAGGAACAACTTTTCTGCTTCTTTCCTCCCACTCTCAATGCTATGCCCATTTGAAACCATGGTCATTTATACCAACAGAAGATGGCTTGTTTTCCTCTCCCAGGAGACAAAGATTCATCCTTTCTTTACTGTATCTCATCCTTGCAGCGTAGGCCATCCAGGATATCTGATAGAGAAGAGAATGTGACCAACTGGGTGTGGTGGCTCACACCTGTAATCCCAGCACTTTGGAGGCTGAGGTGGGAGGACTGCTAGAGGCCAGGAGTTCAAGACCAGCCTGAGCAATACAGCAAGACCTCATTTCTACAAAAAAATGGAAAAAAAAAATTAGCCAGGCAAGGTGGCATGCCCCTGTAGTCCCAACCACTTGGGAGGCTGAGGCAAGAGGATCACTGGAGCCTAGAAGGTTAAGGCTGCTGTAAGCCTTGATTGTGCCACTGCACTCCAGACTGGGAGATAGAGTGAGACCCTGTCTCTAAAAATAAGTAAATAAATAGATAAATAATAAATAAAAAGAAAAAGTAGAAGAGAATGTGTCTTTGGTCCATAAAAAAAAGACATCTGTTTAGATCACAACTTTCTGAGCCCTCTAAGCCTGTTCTATACCATGATATTCCAGATTGCTCTGTAAGCATTTACTGCCATCAGTGATGAGTGGCAGGGTTTGTAAGTCCCAATTCTTGGGCCACACTTCTATCAGCCTGACAGAAGGCAGAGAAATGTGGTGTTTGTAAGTTCAGAGTGAGGGTTGGAAGGGTGAGGTGAAGTGATGAAGTCAGGTGGGGAGCTTGGATCTTCTTAAGTTGACTCAAGTTAACACAAAGGATTTCTCTCAAGACTGGGATATAAGAAGAATGTAGCATTTGATTCTGGTTTATAATTAACTCATGGAGTAGTAATGGGGTAGACTTTGGAGATAATGATGCTTTCAAAGTCCCTCCTGTGGTCTCCTGCTTTAGGATTTATTAGTATCCAAAGATTGGAGGCACTGGCCAGAACATGCTCAGGGCATTGGAAATACTTCTTGGCATCACATCCTTCTACCTGCAACGCATAGGTTTGAATGCATGCTCAAGAGTCAGACTGCCTGAATCCAAAACCTGACATTGCCACTTAGTTGTGTGATCTCGAGTAACTGACTTAAACTCTCTGAGACTCAGTTTCCCCTCTTGAAAATCAAGATGCTCATGTCACCCACTTCACAGGATTGTTTGAGGGTAAAAATTTATGTATGGTACGTGTCAAGTACCTGATACATCACATTAGTAGTTAGCAGTTAGGGAATACCTACTGTTACCTGCAACCGAACCATCTGACAATTCAGACTCCCTCCCCACCCCTAAGCATTTGTTATCTTACTTCTTACTGCTACAAACAAAGAATTCTAGAAACTTCCTTATATTCTCTGAAAAAGCATAGTTTCAAACAAGACTAGCCTAAAAACCAATACTTGGAGCTTTGAAATAATTCATTTGTTTTCTAATGTGATTGATTTTGTTCAGTAATAAGTAGCGGTAACCTAAGTAAATGCAAGAAGGTAGAGAAAAACAGTAAGATCAAATTTTACAGTTTGTATCGTAATACAGAAAAGAAGTAAACATTTTAAAAGACTGAAACATGCAGTTGACAATGAAACTAGAAAGCACAGCTATTAACAAATGTTGTGTCTGAATGATGCCATAAATGTTCTCTTCTTTCTATAGATCTGCATTTTCCAAATTTCCTTTAAGAAACTAGTATTACTTACACGCATTTTAAAAATCATAATTAAGAAGAAAGGAAAAATCAGTGCAAGTGCTATTTGAAATTTCAGTCTGAATGTTCATAGCAGTGCAAAATAAGCTAGTTACAGCTTCAAAAAATTAACTAGTTTAATTCATGCTGTTTGTTCACTGTGAGTTAATTTAATATACTTATCCTAGAAAATAATGCATTATTCAGTTTAATCAATATTCATTTGTTCTTTGCATAATCACATTTGCAAAAGCATTTATTAACGATGCACCTACAGACTCACAGGGAAAGGCCATGCTATAAGTAGAGTAACATTTTTGAAATGAAAAAAAAAAAACAAACAATGAACTTACCAACATTAGACAAATGATTGATCCTAATATGCTGCACGTTTTCATTTAAAAGGCAGCCAGGAGTCTTTTGTATATGTGTCTTCGTGGGAAGTAGCAATAGATACACTGTCAAATTAATGAATATCGTGTTAGTTTGGGAGGAAATTAAATCTGGGTTATTACTGAATAGTTGGCATCTCGGTGCATGTAACATTTGCTCTTTCTACATATCCTCAATTGACTGAAACAGTCAATGCTATGGATATTTGCAAATATTTGTTGTTGTGCTGAGAAATACATATTTTTCCATTTTAATCCAGATGCTTAGCATTATGTAGACACAGACAGAAACTCATGTTGGGCTTTTCAAACATTGTGACTTAAAAGAAAGTCACCTTTTAAGAATAAAGAGAAGTTTCCTGTGAATGAACCCCATTTGCATTGTTACAATTTTTCTTTAAGATTTTATTTAGGTTGTGATTTGTATTTTTTATTGATTCATTTCCATAAGTAGCCCAGGCAAACTATGGTTTACAGTGCAACCCCAGGACCTAGGATGGTGAATTTTTCTTCTTAGTGATGTATGCCTACTTTATAGATGTCCGTTAGTCAGGACCCATCCTTGTCAATCAGGGGCACTATCTCTTATGCAGAGGAGCCCTTTTCCAGTTGAGGGGAAATTGTATTTCACGATATTTGAGAGCTCTAACTTTCCAGAAAAAAATTTAAGAAATGGATGTAGAGTATTGCTGATTAGCCTCCATAAGACACTCAGGAAAATACATCCTTTGGAGAAATGAGTAATGTTACAATAGTACCTACATTTCCATTTGGTTTAGATTTTTTAGCTGAAATATAGTTTTAATGATTTTTCTAAATAAAGTAACCAACTAAAGCTATTTTCAGCTGGGTTGGACACTTCCAGAAAAGTGTATCTTGGGCAGACTATCAGGGAGGCTAGTGTAAACCCTCAGGAGGGATATAGTATATTATTTTAACTTCCAGGTGGGGAACTAACCCTGAAGAAATTCACATGTTTATTCTCATGAAATACAACTTAAATATCACTTTGTTTTTATCCTAGGAAAAGTGTCAAAAGCCTTAAACTCCATTATTATTCAGAAATAACTATATGAACATGCCCACTACTACGATAATACCCAACAAATGGGGGCCGAATGAGAGGGAAAAGTAATAGTAAGAAAACCTCAATTGTAAGAATGCTCATTGATACTTTCCAAATATAGGTGGGTCCCACTTAAGTGGGATCTACAACTCATTATGTAGGATACACCCAGAGAAGTTAAAATTTATGGTAATTATCTTTCAGTTAGCATCCAATGCCTCAACTATGCAGAAAGATAAGGTGTTTTCTCCATACTGAACTTAAAAGGGTATTGAGAAAACATTGCAACTACCGAAAGCCTTGAACAGGAAGATTAAATAAATAAACAGTTTAGAGATTTCCTATATGATAAACCCTTTCACAGAAGGGGCAGCTAAATGCTTTGAGTTTTCAAAGAAAATATTTATATAGGGAAAGGTGAGCAATGGAATACATTTAACAACTGAGGCAACACACAGGATGTGCCTTCTCCTTCAGATGTAATCAGAGCAGTATTTCTAATTGTTTACTATGAAAGAATGCTTTAACTTGAAATATGTGATTTTTGAAAGCCGTGTCACTTTTTATATTGTGGGAAAAAAAAAACCCTGTCACATTTTAAAATGTGATTAGTATTATTTCTTAGTAGCCAGAGAATCCTCATGAAAACAGCTATAACTTTATGACAGAGGTTGTTGAGGGAAATACGGTTTAACTTACAAAACCAGACATCACAGCCAACGTTTCTGGAAGACATCCATTCAGGAAAGGCAAGCACATCTGTGCCTGAAGTGGCTGGGTCCCAGCAGATTTGGCTACTCTCCAAAGGCAGCTGGCAGGCCACATCTCTGTTCAATGCAGTCAATGTCAGATCAATCATTTTAATCAATTGGCAGGGAGACAATGATTTTCCAAAGCCTGAGGATCATTTTCAAAAAAAAACTTAGACATAAGCTTTCCTTAATGCACTGAAGAGAAGTGTTTAAAGTTCCTAAATTCTGTATCTCAGGGACTTCTCAGTTTGCGATTTTAGAAATGGCCCTTAATATCAGGAATAGTTCCAGGGACTAGCTTTGTTTTCCCCCTCCAGCACAGTCCTAGTAGTGTGTGAAGGAAAGACTTCATTTGACTATCCTGCTAGAATAGCACAGATACAGGTACAGTAGCACAGGTAAACAATTGTTTACAGCGCAACCCCAGGTCCCAGCATGGTGACTTTTTCTTGTTACAGATGCATGTCTACTTTAGATGCCCATTATTCAGGACCCCTCCTTGTCAATCAGGGGCACTATCTCTTATGCAGAGGAGACCTTTTCCAGTTGAAGGGAAATTGTATTGTGGGAAGTTGCAGAAGGCATCATCTCAAAGAAAAAAGCTCCCACAGGACACAGGCTTAGTTACTCAGGTGCCAGCAAACTCACCTAACAATCCATCTGTAGACTCCAGAGGGTCCCAGCTGTATAAACGAAGCTATGCTGTCATCTACAGAAAGGAATAATAATAATAATAATAATAATAATAATAATAATAAAAACCCTCTCCTAAATCCGAGAGGAAACAATGAGTTTTATAAGGAACCAAAGTAATGTACTCCATGTTGCCTAGAGAAGTTTTAACTTTTTCACACCTATGACAGTTTCTTGCCCAAACTGAAGAACTGCCATGATATATTTACATATATACTTTTGTTTAAAAAAGGTATCTTTCCGATTAATTGCCCTGTGGTTTAATAGCTGCTATGGTACTATCATTGTATGCAAAGGTCAGGATACAGCTATAGCTGTCTCTGTCTCTTGCCAGTCTCAGTGTAATTGATTATTTAGCAAGATTTGGTATTTCCTGCCCCCACTTCACTCCTGTCAATATTGAAATGACATACTTCAATTTATACATTTTTTGCATCTGTGTATCTCTAATAAGGCTGCACCTTTGTTTAAGATGAGTATTTCACTATGTTGCTCAGGCTGGACTCAAACTCCTGGGCTTGAGCGATCTTCCTACCTTAGCCTCCCAAGTAGTTGAGACTACAGGCATGCACCACTGCACTCAGTTTTGACTATGTTTCTTTTTTTTTTTTTTTTTTTTCTTTTTAGAGACAGGTTCTTGCTATGTTTAGGCCAGGCTGGTCTCAAACTCCTGGCCTCAACTGATCCTCCCACCTCAGTCTCCCAAAGTGCTGAGACTATAGATGTGAGCCATTGTGCCTGGCCTGGCTGCATCTAAGTGGGCTGGCTGTAGTGCTTGGCTTTGGGAACTGTTGATTAAAACACACAATAATGTGAAGTCATATAACATTAAACAATGCCGTTCTTAATTTCTTAAACTAGCCATTTCAACGGAGCTGTCTCCAAAATCCTATCAATCTAATAAGAAAAAATATACCTGTGCTCAAATTAAGCCACTCATTTTTCACACTCTTTTTATTGGGAAAAATTTTAAAATATACAAAAATAGAGAAAATAGTACAGTGAAGCCCCATGGAGCCATCACATAGCCTGAACAGTAATTATGATTTTGCCACACTTCTTTCAATTATTCATTTGCTACAACTATTCCACTTGCCTCAGACTGCATCATACTAAAGCAAAGGCCAGAGCTGTGCCATTTCAACCCTATGTACTTCAGACACATCTTAAGAAGATATAGATATTTTGTTAGATAGGCTGGACATCATTTTCATAGCTAATCGAATTAACAATGATTCTTTGTCATCATGCAATACCCAGTTCATATTCACATTTTTCAGATTATCTCAAAAATTCAAACCACTCAGGGTGATCACTCCTCTACAGGAGCAAGTAGGAACATCAGGTTAGAGCTCCTTACCAACTTTTTTATGCAGAACGACCCTTCGAGTCTATGCCACGGGGCCCCACATTTGGTGATGGCTCAGTCAATGTTTGTTGGATCTGGCCTTTCTCTTATCTGAGGAAAGAAATCAAAAGTGACATAAGGAAGGTAGTTTTTTCAGGGCAGCTGCAGCTCTCAAGATTGAAGCTCGAGAAAACTGCTATTGATTTCTGTATCCTCCTACCCAAGTGTGGCAGTGCTCCTAGTGAATATTGAAGGCATATTGAAAGGCCACTTTCCTGGCTGTCTCTGTTCTCTGTTCACTGTGTGCATCTGCAGTCAATTGAAAGGCATGGAATTATTTGGCTGATTAAAGAATCAACTAACCCAAATTGAATGGTTTTGTTGTGTCCTTTTTCATTTGATTCAGCTATAAAAGATTAAGTAAATGCATTTCCTCTCCTTCCCAAAGGTGCAAAATCTCGAATGCATGCCAGCTAACTGTTCTCTCCTATGACTAATTGATGTTTTGCACTCACAGCCTTGAAAACTAATCTTTTCCATGCCTGGTGCTAGTTGTAATGAGATATATTATGCTGACAGCTTGAACCTTTGCAAAGGTATGGAACTCAGCATGTAAATAATTGTGTCTGCAATTTTAAAATTTGATATAAATGGTGCACTGTTCGGGGTGAAGGCTGTGCTTGCCAGCACTTGGCCAGCTGTGCCCCAAAGTGCAACTCAGCCACTGTTTGGCCCTAGCAGCCTTTAACCAGCCATGTGTATCCTGGGCTGCTGCCTAACTCCCTGGCATAGCACCTAGCACAATGCTTGGCAAATGGGGATTACTCAACAAATGTTTGTAGAATGATTGAATAAATGAACCAGTACAAAAAGAAATCATTCTAAATAGAATAAAAGTTTATTTCTCACTGAAAAAGAAAAACTAAATGAGACAGTTCCAGACAAGCCCACAGGAGGCTCTGACAGAACTCAATCCCCTGTGTGGTGACCATAGGCTATTGGTTGACTCACACTGGCTAGCCACAGGGTGCAAATGAAATCCTGCATTTTCAAATGAGTATTTAATGTGTGTGTGTGTGTTTTTTCTCAAAAAGATCTGGTCATCTCCCTAACACTCACTAATTAGTATTAGTATTTTAAATTCTGCATGAGAAAGTAAAAAATCATAGTGAAAAAATTCTCTAAAGCCATAAATAACAGTGTTTCAGTTATGAAAAGCATAAAAACAGGTCAACTCAACTGTAACTGTGGGGCAGTTTCCTGGATAGAAGATTCAGGCAGGAGCTGCTGAATGGTACGGAGGTCTATATAAGAGCTCTAAAACGATCCCTACCCTTTGACCTGGTAATCTCACTTATAGGAATATATCCCAAGGAAATAATCCAAACAACAAAAGGTAATTTTGTAAGGATATTTATAGCAAAGCCATTTATAGTAGGAGTAAACTGGAAACAACCCAAGTGCCCAACAGTAAGGAGACTGGCTAAGCCAAGAATATCATATCAACTCCGTGGTGCACTGCACAGACATTAGCGCATCGAGCAGGTGGTACGTTTCAATGTGTGGAAATGTCTACATGAAATACTGTTAATTGAAAAAAGCGGAACACAAACAATTATGTGTCCAGTGATTACAACTTTGTGAAAATGTACCTGGTATTTTGAAAAGGGTCAGGAAGGCATCGAGTGATGTAAACACAGCTGAAGGTTCATTGAATTCGTTTTCTGCATTGTGGATGGCTGTGTAAGTGTATAATGTATAAAAAAGAAAGGAAGGACAGAAGAAAGAAAGAAAAAAAGAAACTACTGACTAAAAACCAGAGCTGCTATTTAAGACAATCTGTCATTTAGATGTTTATAGATTAAGAACACCAGAGAGAAATACAAGTGGGAAATCAGAAAGACCCAGGAACATCTAAATGGTAGTCTATATGCCTAATAGAAAGTCGAAATTCATTTGGAGCAAGATCCCTTCTGAATGCCTTGCAGCACTGGATCAACAATTGGAAGCCATAATGACAAGGATGTGCTCAGACTCCTACAGGGAAAGACAACTTCCCATGGCCAGCAATGTTTGTTCCCTAGCAAACCACTTCTCAAGTGATGATGTCATCATTAAGGAAAAAATCAACATTTGCAGAATTCACCATCATCCAGCAGAAAACAGCACGCCAAAACCTTTAGAATTGATTTCTGTGCATTTGCAGCACACCCTCTGGATTCTGTGGCTTAAATTAATCACTAATGAAAATTAGAAAGCATTAGTTTTGGATTGTACTTGCAGCATGGTCCCTGCAACTAAAGGGGAGAGGGTCTTGGAAAATAGGTAAAATAATTGCTTAGGACTTAGTTCTGAGGTTCACTGTAGGACATCTTCAAAGATTTTTTTAAAATCTTTTGTTCATGTTAAAAATTAGCCTCCATTATTGCTTTTATTTCTGCAGTATTTTTTACAAACGCAATTACAATTAAGAGGTGAGAATGCAATGTTTTGGAAGAAAGAGCATTACAGGCCCATGTCTGTTGGAACATTTTAAATATTACAGGACTGAATTGGAGGCAAAATCCCCTTAAAATTATTTGAGGTCTCAAGACATCCTATATCACCATGCAAGTTGGGAAGAAACCAAAGCTGACGATAGGCAGCTCAAATGTGTTTGATCTGAAAGTTTTCATTTATGCCACCATTTTATTGCTGCAAAGGGACCACAGCAAAATGGTGGCTGCCTATACTGTATTTCTTTGAAGAGAATATATGTAAAACAGCCACCCCCTGTGAGGTGGTTAATATGCCGCCTGAGCCTTGAAAGCCGTGCCCTTCCCGATACGCAGACTGACTCTGGCATTTGTGCCGATATTGAAGTTGCAAAATCAAATATCAAGAAGCCATATTTTTTTCTCGAAAGACAACGATTTACCAGTTTAATTACACAGTGCGTCCCTCTTCTTTGCATCTCCCTGTCTTCCCTCTCCCATATCCTGCTGGGGAACAGAAAGAATTCTGGTGTCATATGAAACCTAGAGCTCCAAGGAGCCTAAGTGCTTTGATTGTATTTGTGAACATGAGTTCTACTTAAAGACAAGTGACTGGATTC